ATGTTCTGAGGGGGGTTTTGTGTAATCGCACTGAGCGCTCGAGCGTGCAGAGAGAAAGGACATGTCCTCAGCTGTGATCACATCGTCGACTACAACCACAGAGAGAAGGGGAGACAGACAGATACTGGAAGAGTAAGAGTCAGAGGGGAAAACATGAAATGAATGGATGATGGTGCAAAAACAAAAGTTCCAAAAACGAGGGGGAAGGATTTCAAATGAAGTGGTGGGCAACAAAAGATGGATGTGTTTAAAGACGGGGAAAGACACATCTGGAGGGAGGTGTAATGAAGTCTCAGAAGAAGGGAAAAGGCCAAAGCTGTGATAAGGGGAGCAGGACTGACAGAGATAGAGGGGAAGTGATTGGAAGGGAGGCAAAGATGAAACAATGTGAGGAGGAGGGCTGCAGTAAACTTTAGGGGCCAAACCAGGGCACAGACCACACGATGAGAGCTATGATTTTGGGACAGATTTCACAAAATGACTGGGCAGTTCTGGTTATCAGAGACTTGCACAAATCATCTCATCAAATTTAATATGGCATAAAGTGGTCTATTCTGATCCAGCAGAACAATTTGGCTGCACTGCTGCACTTCAGTCATTACTAAAATTCAATCTTTTTTCTTCCAATAATCCCTGTGCAAGTGGTGGAGAGATTTGAGACTTTTATGTAAACTATTGACTTGAGAAATGGATATGGATATACGACTTGGATAAAAGGGAAGGCAGTTACGTTACCTTATTGCTGGTTTTTCTTTGTCAATAATACATGGTCATTGTCTCGACAGAAAGAGTTGTGAAAAAATCAGACCACAATATGCCAACTTCGTCATTTATCAAAAACTGCTACGTTTGGTCGTTTTTTTTTTTTGCTTTTGTGTTTGAAAAAGTGACATGTGGAAAACTACACTGCAAAAAGTAATGAAAAATAGTTGCTCACATTTGGAAGTGTGTCTTAATTTGAGTTTAATTTATTCATGATCTTGTTTTAAAAAGATACAAGAAATGTCTCCCTTGAAATGAGAAAACAAAGCCACAGTTTTTGAAATAAATGGCTTTGTCCCATTGGAAAATCCTGTTTTAAGGCAGTTACGTACTCAAATTAAGATTATTATTATTATTTTTGTAATTAAAAACCATAAATCACCTCAACGGTGTAGTGATAGAACCAGACTGTTTTGAGAGCAAGAAACTGCCATAGTTTTGTAGATTTCATTACATTGTTGATTTATTTAGCTATGTTCCCCAGCTTTAACGTGTACTAAGTAACTTTTTGATGGATTGGTCCAAAAAATGCATGCCTTGCTCATAGTGTTTTCTAGTGTGGCAGGAAACAATCAGGTGAAGCGAGAGCATTATCATCATTATCGTCATTTTGGCTCATTCCGCCATAGGAAGCACGTCCTCCTAATCTCTGAGCTAGCTGAGCCCTCAGTTAGCCCGGCTAATTGCGGAGGTATCACTGTGTCAAATGACTAATAGACTTTTCCTTCCCACCGCTAATCTTCCAGCAGGAGCGCAGCCGTGATTTGTTTACTGTGCACCAAAGACTACAAAGACACACCCGTCTGTTTACCTCCCCCTCAAACACAATTTCACGCCATCACAACCCGCGCGCTCGGAACACAAGTGGTCCATGCATGACTTTGTTGGAGCTTTCTATGATTTGTTTAAAATTTCATGAAACGGCACAGGTCTGTGCGGGGGGGAAAAAAGCAAGTTATTTCACTCAAGTTGCTTTCTTCAACATCTATTTCCTTGCTGAAGTACTCAATCTTGATGATGTTTGATAGGACTGACACACGAGTGCTACAATAAAATCCTCAATCTGAAATATCCACAGGTCAACCACACACACGGATAATACAAGCAGGCACATTCACAATGATTTTTGCCAGGCAATATCAACCCAAAAGGTCAAGTCATCACTCAGCCCACACCATTAGCAAATGATATTTCAGCAATGCTCCATTTGGTTAAGGCAGGAACAAAAGAAAAGGGACGTAGATGAAAAAGAAAAGAATGGAAAAAGAAAATCGAAGACTTAAAGATGCTTTAGGGGCTGTATACAAAGCAACACAATGTGGAAACTTCCAGAGTTACCTTCTCGAACACGCAGAGGGGCTGCTCATTCATCTCAATGCGTTTGAATGACCTATTACTTTCACTATAGCACAAGTCATGAGCATCAGGGCAAAATGGGATTTCAACTCTCAAACAGACCAGTTATAACAATACTGTGTTTTTTATACAAATGTTTTCTGCAGTTGCCTACATTTTTTGCGTCACATTTAAAAAAATATATATATTCTAAACAAGAAATCCATTTTTATAAGACATAATCGCAATCAAAATTGTCAAAATAATTGTCAGTTGCAGTTTGTTTACACATCTCCACATGCTGCTGAATGTCTAGCTGATGATGTCAGCTCTAAACTGTGCTTTTGGCCCATTCCAGGCTCTGTCAGAGAAAATGACCTCTTTACAGCTTCATATTGATATAATGATTATGAGGGTTATGATTTCATTTAAATCATTAACTAAGATCTAGAAATGAATATATATATACACTACCCCATCCTAATTGAAAGTCCTCTTGAGATGTAATCATGTAGTATTGTCTTAGCCCACGTCTTGCTGGCCACGAAGACTATAGATGGATAATTGGCTGTGAATGTCCTTGATATCCTCCCTCGACTCCTTGCTTTTAAACTTTCGCCCTACTTTTGTGTCAGGCCTCTTGGCGCCCCCACAGTGGTGTCTAAACCATCATTGGTAATTAGACAGTCATAAAGACAGACATGCCACAGATTTCAGAATTTGACAAGAAATCAGCTTGTGACGCTTGCTGCACCATATCTGCAACACTGTCTTAGTATTCTAGCTGTCTTGTTTTCTTCTCATTCACTATTTCTAGGCCTGTCTAATTCTTTGCATCTGTGTCAAATTTGGGGCATTGATACAAGAGTCTTTTAGCCTCATGGGCATTGCATGGCAGAGTGTTTTCTGTCTGGCTGGCAAATGCATTTTTATTAACCTGATTTGCGTGCTCAGAAATAAAAATATGCTAATGCAGGTTACATCATCTAAAGAGGTTCCTCGTGCCTCTGGTGGCCTGACTAATGAAGTTTACGGCGCTGGGCTGACTAATGAAGTTTATCTGAGTTGGTGAGAAGAATTTAAATAGCTGCATTAAAACCAGTCGTTAGTAATTGGTTCAATTTCCACCGTTCTATTCCAAACTCCCACTGATGACTGCTGTCGTTGTGTCCTTGGGCAAGACACTTAACCCCACTTTGCCCCAAAGCCCCCACTGAAAGATCAAGGCTATGCTCACACTCAGAGCAGCCGTCCTCCTGTGGACTCACCACCTGCAGAGGGTCAGTGAGGGGCTGGTGCTATGAGACTTGGGTGGCATCTCTGATTGCCACCCCCCTGACCCAGAAATGGATTAAAGGGTAGAAAATGGATGGATGGATGGACTATTCCAAAGGTATGCAGTTTTTAAGGCTGTGCGCGTGCAGGGGAGGGGGGATTACAAACAAAGGCATGAAGGTCAAGTGAATGCCACGACTCAAGACACCACTAAAGAGAAAGTTTGTTGATCACATAACAATAAGACACTCCACACCCACAGCTTTTCCATTGCTAATTTCAGATTTATCCTTGTGGGGGCTTGTGCAAATGCATTCCCTCTCGAGGTAGTGTTGAAGCAAAAGTCTTTGTGGTGTTTTTTTTTCATTGGCCCGCGTGAAAGCCATGGTCAATCCGTTAGTATTGATTTTAAGGCCGTGATTTATCCGCCTGCCCTGCTAAGTGCATATTTATGTTGCTTTTGCATGTGTGTACTTGTGTTTTCAAAGCCGATAATGACTGAGGAGATACGCCCGCCTTTATTTCTTGCTTTCTCACGCACCCGCACACGCACCGGCTGTCTGAGTGTTTTTACAGCCGGAGCAACAAGCACCCTGGACTCACATTAACGCCTTGATATATCGCTGATCCGCAGCTAAGACACAATGGGGAGGAGAGTGACAGCTTCTGTGCCCCTGCAGCTTGCTGATACCCCCCGACAAATCTCTAATCAATTTACAAATAAAAAAATAGTAAGCAGGTTTTTGTTGTCCTGTGATATGTCAAAAGTTGGACACATTTTACAACTTGAGTATGTGAGCTGAATACAGTTGGGGAGTATTTACACATACACAACTGTCTACTTTGACTTATCAAGGGTCAATACACTAGATAAAAAGTTATTATTGTGTGTGTACTATATCTATTTTGCGCAATTACTACATATTAACATAACGCAATAGTGGATATTCAGGAGTTATTTCACATTATTTCACATGGGAATTGTAGAATTATTTAGCTATTTTCCTTATTATTATACACTTGTTTTTTGTGCTTCATATTGATTCATTTAGATGTTTTAGTTTAAGCTCATTTGATAAACAACTGCTAACTACTGGTATTATTAGTGGTATTTTCTGTTATTATCCTGCTATACAGTTAATGACATTTGAATGCAAATGTTTTCACTGGCACATTATTATCCTCATCATTATATTTTAAAAGCAAGTCTGAATCAGGTCTGTGCAACGAGGACACCACATTAACATTTATGTTAACATTGTTAACATTTATGTTAACATTGTTAACATTTATGTTAACATTGTAACATTGTGCGGTGGTTTTTACAACTTTGCGTCTTTTTTCTTGAACTCAATACAATGACAAAACCAAAGACAGTATGTATATTTGAGCCTATTTTTGCAACAATCCTCTTTATTGACTTCTGTTACTGTTTATTCTGGGCCTCTTGCCAATAACTCTCAGTATAAAGGAAACACAACACATAATCTGGTACTTTCTCTCTTGCTCCTTTCCTTTCGTCTCTTTTCCACACTATCCATCCACTCATGTTTAATCCTTAGACCAAACCCAGCATGTGCATGACCAATCCTTACGTTTTGTCCTCTGTCCCTACTTTCCTCCCTTAGCTCCCTCCTCCCCGGGTGTGGACTCCGCCCCTTTACAGCGTACAGGAAGCCATGGCAACGCCCCGGGAAACTACAGCCGTGGGACCAACAACTATGCCACCGTGGGACCAGGCTACACCTCCAGCGTGAGCAGCAGCGATGTCTACGGCTCGGATCCCTACGTGGCGGACCCCTACCGGACCCTCCAGTACTGCCCCTCTGTGGTGGAATCGCCCTATAGCAAGTCAGGGCCCGCTCTGCCGCCCGAGGGAAGCCTGCAGCGCTCGCCTTCCATCGACTCCATCCAGAAAGATCCCAGGTATGATCAAAGGCGGTGGCTGTTACAGCCAGCCTGTATGCGAGGGGTAGGGGCTGTGCTTTTGACTGTTGCTATTGGCAACAGTGATATGCATTCGCCATACGATCAAAAGGTGGAAGGTATATGCTTGCTTAGGTTGATATAGTGTGATTTTAGCTTATGGTTGTTTGCATACCTAGAGGATAGACCTTTGAAGAGTATTGGCATTTATTGTATTGGCATTTTTCTGAAGGTATTTCTTTCATTGTTTTTTTGTATGACCTCTTGAAGTGAATTGCTGGAAATATTAAAACATATATATTGTAAGTTTAGCTGTTTTGGCCATATTTGGGAGTTTATAAGGGATATAATGCACTCATTGTTAGTGATTGTGTGAAGCCATATATTGTCAAATGTGTTTTGGGGGAGATTGCAATTGTACAGTTCATGGAAGGCGGCCCAGGAATTTACTGGAACTAGTGGGTTTTTGCCTTGAAGAATGTGCAGCTTTACCACCAGAGAGAAAAAAGAGCCTTCTCCTCAACTACAGAAGACTCCAAGCTGTCATAGATGTTTGGGGAAATACAAACATTTGTGTGGCTTCTGTTGTTATTATAATATGAAAATAGAAAACATGTTTGATTGGCAAATACATGGCTTCACACAACAACTAAATTTAAGTGAAAAAGTTTGTGTTATTATTCACAATCTCTGAAATATGGCCAAATAATTTATGCCTGGTTGAGTAAACGTTCAAACTCAACTGTATCTATGTTCACAAACTACGTTCACAGACATGGCCGGAGCTCTGGTGTGTCGGGTGCACACTCGGGTACTCTTGCGCAGGTATTCCAATGTGGTTTTACTGCAAACGGCAAATCAGCTGAATCAGAGTCTGAATTTGTGACTGGGCTTACATAAGCTTGTAATGACCTGCAACTTCTTGGCTTTTTTTGTTGTCGGAGTTTGCATGCAAAAGCCAGATCCTGTCAGACCTCTGAAGCTGTGCAGGGCAGGGTCTGGTCAGTGCTGTAATGGGAGACCTCTGGGAACACCAGGAGCCACAGTGGGGCGGCTGTGGCTGTAAAGTGCCAAACTATTGTTGTGTCCTTAGGCAAAACACTTCACCCACATTGCCTAGAAGGAGTCTGGTGTGTGTGTGTGAATGGTTGGTGGTGCTTGGACGGGCCTATGGCACATACTGGTTGCCTTGCTTCTGTCAGTGTGGCCCAAGGCAGCTGTGGCTTCACCGTGTATGGAGTGGAAGAATAATGACATGTGAGGTGTCTTTGAGTGTCCTGAAAAGCGCTATATAAAACTGAATATTATTATTATTATCATCAACATCATGTAGCATGGTGTATTTCGTCTCAACTAAAAATAAATAAAGTTGAGACTGAGAGTGTGTCTTGTTTACCAACTGAATGTTCAAAAGACAAAGCTCAATACCACCCTCATAATGTCACACTGCGTTTAAAGAAGTGTCCTACTGAGCTGTAATCACTTCTTTCCTCTTTTCTCTGTAATTAAGCAAAGCACAGACTTCACTCATTATTTCATAGATATTTCATAGAACTCTTGATGTTTAATTCTATTAATTTCAGATGAACAGTGGCGGATAGGCTCAAGTTTCAGTAGCATCTGTCACTCACAAGAAAGAACAATAGGGATGAACATCTAAAGAGGAAAGTTTGTTATATAAGTAAGAAAAATGCCAAAAATGTTGTCTATAAATAAGTATGGAGTTTAGTTTTCCAGTTCTTTGAAGTAAAACTTAAGAGGTCCTGTTAAGTCTGATTGACGGATCAAGAACAGCGTGGTTGAGTGTTTCCTTGAGGTAGAAAAATAAAATCTATGAATAAGTCAAAGTGGTGTAAAAAGCTGTATGAGTTAATCGTTACTTTAATGTAGGATTAATTGATTTAAGACACATAATAAAAAAGATTATATTATGCAGGTTTTCAGTGCAAGTTCTGATGTTAACTGATCAGTGAAGAAGAAATATTCTGGTTGAGTTCTGGCATTTAACAATCATGAGACTTTTTACTTTCTCAATTCATGTTTTAGAATGTGAAATATTGTCTTCAGTAGCAAATATATGGTGAAACAAATGTGAAGTGTAACAAATCTAACTCTACACGCTACCACTAGAGGGAGGAGTTAAATCTGTTTTTTTGGGGGGGGGTTTTCAAACATGTGGTACATCAAACTATTACAGGACTGAGATGCGATGAGTTAGACAGAAGAGGCGGTTATTAGATCAATCCATGCAACAAGAACAATGTTATAACATGGTAAAAGGCTAAAACATTAACATAATAGGTCTTGTTTAAATTAACTCAATTAACTGACTCATTTTTCATCAGCAGATCCATCATCCCGCAAACAACATGCACAGAATGCCATTTACACGGGGCTTATTTCATGTGATTTTTCTTTTGTTACCCCTGTTGATTTTAATAAGAACTTGTTACCCCCTGTTGATTTTAATAAGAACTTGTTTAATTAGAAGCCTTGAAGTTCTTCATGAGCAATTAAACTTTCAGGGTAGGGGTCTGATGTAAATTCCTTCTTCACTCATCTATTCTCTAATCTTGGTATATCCATAAAATTAACCTGAATTCATTCCCATATTATTCAACAAATATTGGCAGGAAACAAGTGCACACTGCTTTTGGATTGATCGCACTACTTTAGTTGCATATTATCAAAGCAGATACCCAGCTGGGTGTTGTTGCCAGCACTTTGGCTGTTCTGATTTTGTTTTGCGAGGATCAAGAAAGTTAATGAGTTCTGACTTGATTCAAGGTGATTACCTCACAATTAGGATGTCCAGCTGCAGATGAGGAGCACATATTAATGTAAGCGAGGTAGGGTCGTGTCGGTTCCCAATACAGTATGTTTATCCCATATATTCAGGGTGGGCCGGGTAGGCCAGAAAAAAAAAACAAAACAAAACTACATTCTGTACCTTTTTCTATATTTTGAGATCCATTTCCGGGTTGTGCTACAATACCCATTATTAGCTCCATTCTCTTTGCTACAAGGTTAAAAGCCTTCCTACCCAAACTGCATTCTCTCTCTCCTTCAGTGTAATTGGATCTAGCTGAGCTAACATGAAGTGCTAAATGAGTTAGCAGCTATTAGACGCAAGGAATACTTGAATGATGGTGGACCCGAGGGGGTGCATACATATGCTTGAGCTGGAAGTGTCGGCAAAACTGTTTAATGTGTCCACATTGTGTCTCTGATTGCGTGGCGGCTTTTGTGTGTGTGTGTTTTTCCTGTCAGATATTTAGTAGATGCAGTAACGCTAACGTGAGCATGGCTAAAACTCAATAATGGCTAATGGATGGGAGTAAAGAAGTATTGAGGGGAGATTAGGTAGAAGAGACAGGGGGGTGGAGGGTGTGGGGTATGAGGTGGACTTGGAAAGGGAGGCAAATGAGCAAAGTGGAAAATCTGGCACGATGAGGAGAAGGATGGAAGATTAAAGGAGTCAGCCATGGGAATAATGTAGTGTCTGGGACAGAGGTCAAGATAAGAAGATGTAAAGAAATGGAGAGAAAAGTGAGGAAAAGGACTATACATTCAGAGTTATTGATTTGTCTCACCATTATCATAAAAAAGCTATGTTGTTTTTTTTTCCTCCTCTCGGTAAAATCAACGTTGCCCATCTTGTCCTCAATATTAAACCGTGGCATTTTTAGAGCCGGTAAAATTGGACTTGATGAGGATGGGACCCAGGGTGGCAAAAACAAATAAAACAACGATTGGAGGAAGCAAGCACTAAAAGACATTTGTTTGGGGAATAGAAAACATTCATTACAAACAGGACCAACAAAGGAACAAGCCAGTGAGGTATGCTAAACATATGGAGCTTTGTGAGCCCAGACAGCGATAAAACCAGTGAGAAGGTGAGAAGAGGGAGAAGAGCATGGGACTGAGGCCTTAGGGACCGGGCTACTGTTTGTTTCAAAGCTGCAGTTGTGCAGTGAAAATAAAAAAATAGTTGTGGTGTAGGGAAAAAGAAAAAAAAAAACATGTGAGCTGGGGAGTTTGCAGCAACAGTTCGCACAAATGAGGATTGGCAGCTTGGAAAAATTGTGATCGCAAAACAACGCAGCAGTATCACTTCAACTGTGGGGTTGTCTCATCAAACAATCAGCTCAAAATATGGACTCAGCACATTTTGAGTATTATCATATTCACAGCTTTGAATCAAAACGTTGCTTTAATGTGATATATGTGTGATAACTGTGATAATACTGCTGTGTGTGCAAATGGGATTTTTTTTGTATCGTTCATGCAAAAGGACTAGTAATTATAAGTTTATTTCTTGTTGTGTGTGCCTCGGGTTTCTAGAAGTGATTATCTGCAACTTTTAGGTTCAAAGTGCAGAAATACACTTGACATTTGAAACTGCCTTCTATACATCAAAGCACCACAGTTGAATGTGAAGAGATGCATTGTTCAATTGGGAACAAATTATTCTCGTAAATATTGTTGAAAACTTATTTAGAGCCATAACATGAATGCGTCCCAATAGACTCAATGACTGTAAATATTAACGGCATAGTCACGCCTATCTCCGCCGTTGAAACGAATGGGCAATCACTTTTGGCATATTTGGGGCTTTTTCAAAATGGCTGTGGGCAGCCCCTCCCGCAGGAAATGTGAAAAAAACGCATTTGCGCATGCAGTTAGCCGGCACCAGCCCCAATCATTTAACGAGGCCTTCTGAAGTCCACAGAGGCCTAAACTAGAGTGGTTAGTTTTTGGGCCAAGAGTACGACTTTTGGGACCATCCTGTTAAGCCGCTTTTGATGG